GAGAACGTTTACTAGAAATCTTAGTCATTTTTGGCTGGTGACCGACTGAATAATCTTCAAAATAAACTGAAAAAATCGCACTTCTTTTCGACGTTTAATTTGCGTTTGAAATCAAAATAACAATTTACTGAGTAGACAGCCGTCATACAAACCAATTTTCCTACGTTTTTTTACCCCTGAAAAATTTTTGGTTGGAAATTACAATCAGTTTGAATGCTTAGCAAACTGTTCGGAATCGAAAACGGCAACAAGTAGGTCTCTCAGACGTACAAATTAAATCGAAATGCTTGGATTAAGATATCGTTCAATCAGAAGCCCAAAATAAAACACAGAAGAGAAGGGAATGAAATTTTCTTACATGCAGTCCGGTTTAAACCGGTGTACTATGGCGCAGAAAGCGAGGCCATCTCTCCAAGAAGTCGTCATGTTAGTAACACGAACGTTCTTGTACCCAACTGTCTGTCGCTGACTCCACTCGATGAGTGCCTCCTTACCTCTCAACAGTTTGCAATTTTCTTGGCTGATTTTGTGCCTCGTGGCCATTGCTTTTGCACGATGCCGGGTGATCATCAATATATTCTTTTTTGAGGCTGCTTCCTTTCAAAATACCACAAATTAAGCGGGCGCTTTTCAGCTCAAAACACGCTTTTCTTTTTCAGTATCGGCTGAATCGCCAGATTGCAAATGAGGTTTTCATAATAACAAGCTGCAAATAAATAACTTCCGACTCCGCGTGACCAGGAATAAATAAACATGAACTAGCTGACAATCTTAATTTATGAAAATCAAAACGAAAAACATGGATGAAAAAAATATAGGCATTTTAGCAAGGACATCTTCGAGATAAGATATCATTTTTACGTTTAAGTATGGCTAAATATGCTCTCCAAAACAGTGAAATGTGAAATAAATATTGTTACTTTTGTGTGTGAAGTTGTGGATACCTGAATGTTTAAGGATTACCTTGAAAATTACCGCCTAAACTAAACAGACTGCTTGCTGTGTTGAGTAGCATTTTATTATCGATTACGCTGTTTGTCGCTACTTTCAATTTTCTTGAAAGTGAAAATGTTGGTAAATTTTTTTAAGAAGGTAAAACAAAACACCTGGATATTACTGAAAATATTTTTGTGGCAAGAAAATAGTGACAAGCAAAACAGGTTTTTGAAGTTCAGTTTCCTTGTCAAAGACACCGACATCAAACGATAGGATTAAAAGGTGACGGGGCTTATAGAAGAGTTGTAATTAAAGAAGACAATGAGATGGAGTCTGTCAAATGAGAGCACTTCACACGCGCAATTTTAACATATTGACATTCGCTGACAGCGATTCAGATTTGCATCCACTTTTGAAATTGTTACGGCTACTGTCAAAAAGAATTTTTTAAAGCTTAGTGGCATTAAATATCGCCACAATTGAAATAGGACCTTTTTTCTCACTTTTCTAGGCCGCTCGGTTTAATAAAATTTTACGATGGCATTTTATTTTCCTCAAAATGAAAGGCATTGGGAAGCATCTTGCAAAATGCAAATGACTGTTCCCGCTTCATTTCCGTATAATAAAATTAATATGTACGGGCACGAATTTAAAATATATATTTATATTAAAAAAGCGGTTTGCCTGTACGTGGTTTACCGAGCCTTGTATATTAAATTTTTGAACGAGTTTGCAGCTTTGAAAACCATTTGGTTAGCCTCTAATCTTCTAGCCAATCAAAGAGCGCAAGGTAAAATTAAACGGCGTGTCATTGTACTAAATTTCTGTAATTCTCCCACTTTAACAGAGGAGTCTTAGTACAAAAAATATTGCAATACTAACACAACTGTTAGAGCCTTAATTTGTATTATTAAGGCCAGGGCTATTTTTAAGCTCTGCTATAACTTTCATAGCTTTCTCTATAGAAATTTAACCATTAGATGATACTTTTTTAATTTTCAAACTTGGCGCGCTTATTTTTGCGCTTTGCTAAAATCTGGGAGCTCATTGTCTGAGAAGAGTGCGTATTAGCCAGTTAGCAAAAGCTAGAGTCAAAACAGGAAGACCTTTAAATGATATTCATTTACAGAGCAAAGATATTATATTAAAAGATATTGGTTATTAAAATAATTTAAAATAGCCCAGCATGTCATCCGTGCAACGGTTACCGGTCGTTTCGATACAAAGTCGTTTCGATACAAGTAGTTTCGGTACAAATTGAAGTCGATTCGATACATACCTTAAGTCGGTTCGATCCACTTGAGGTCGTTTCGATTCAATCAGAAAAACTTGCCAACTTTTGAAGATTTAGTCACTACCATTAACAGTTCGTAGTGAATGAACGTTTATTTGACCACGCATGACGATGGAACACACGCTGACCGGATCATGTGCAGTCCATTACCCTAACGAACAACCTACGAGGTCTACGAGCGATGTTCGTGATACACCGATCACCAACAACTAACAAGTCGGTCCAAACGACGCGATCAATATTTAAATGACTGTCCTGATAGAAACGATACACGAAACCCTTCAATTAAAGGTCGTTCACAATCATTGTTTGTATACAAGATGTAATCGTTGTTTATATGTAACCTTTCCTGTTGTGTAAGTTTGAATTCGAAGTCGTGGTCGATTTCCACCACGGTCTCTACACCGGTAACCTCTACACCACTACTACATTGTAACAGTGAGGACTTTAACTAAAAGATCCTTATTATATCTTTGTGTTTTTTTTTGCCAGTAATAAGTCTTCAAGTCAAACACGTGCAATTTACACGTGCAAGTGATCGTGTTTTTGATTTTTTTTGGTATTGTGTGAAAACCTCACAAGTGATGCTTGATCGGTTAACGCAACAATGGATAGACCATGAGCGTCGCGTGCGTGAATAGATAAAAAGAAGTGCGATGTTAGGTTGTTTAACTCAATTAGAATATGAATTAACTTGCTAGCAAACAACTGGCCAATCCAAACGGAGTAATTTATCACACCTACCATTTTGATCCAGGCTTAGCTATAAAAAGGTGAAAAGTATGTGTGAGCACTCATTCGACTAGCTTCCGAGCAACTACACGCAACGTCCCCGCGTGTAATAAGTAAGCTTACATTAGTTGTTAGCAATAAAAAGTATAATGGTAGTAATGTATTCACAGAGTACGAAATAATTGTGCTTAGCAACCATGTCATGATACTTAAGCACGTGCAACAACCAAGATGGCGGCGTTTTTCCATGTTGTTCCCGATCCCGTCTTGAGGCAGTGCTGTTGATCCCCCTTCAAAAAAAAATGCTTCGACATAAAAGCAGAGTAGTAAGAACTGTAGAAATCGATATTCTAGGGTTAAGTTTTTCTGATTGAATCGAAACGACCTCAAGTGGATCGAACCGACTTAAGGTATGTATCGAATCGACTTCAATTTGTACCGAAACTACTTGTATCGAAACGACTTTGTATCGAAACGACCGGTAACCCGTGCAACTGATTAACGAGTAAAAAAAACCCTGAAACAGTCAAGCCTCAGGAGCGAATTACAAGGTATCCTAGATCAACACAATGAGCTATCAATGAGCTATTAAAACAATAAATTTCCACAGGTGATTTCTACTGTCTCCCTTAGCCTGCGTAGCAAGCGTTTCAGTGGGTTTAGGAGCAAAGAACGAGGAACGAGAGTCAAAGACTGCGCGAAAAATGGTGCAAGTAAAATAGCGGGGAGTTTCCTTCCTTCCCTTCCCCTTCCCCCCCTCTTTCATTTTCTGGCTCTCGTTTCATTTCTCGCGCGGCAAAAACCGGTCTTTCTTCGCTCCGAAACCAAACGGAAACGCTCCCTTGGAACCATTGTTTGTTGTTGTCCTTCTTTTCGCTGCTTTCCACTTTGTTTAGCATATCCGCGCAGCCTGTGTGGCTAGCGGAGGAGGGGAGGGGAGGGGGAGAAAAAAATTACCCTCCCTTTACCCCTCCCCCCTACCCGGTTCGACGCCTAATAGCAGGCTATCTCCACGCACTATGTGAATGCTTGAAACAGGATATTGGATAAGAGAATCCACTGCACATTAATACACACTGTAGAGGGTTACTATGATGATGAAGGACTAACTTCCCATAAAGGGGAGGCTCCGTATTAGCACTCAGTCCTTGGTTCTTTGGGTCTGAGTACTGTAAATCAGAGAGGCTGTGTCACTACTGTTCATTCGGTTAATAGTGAGCTTACGCAACAGGACGGGAGAGGAAAGAAGATGGCAAACCTTTTGTGACAAGCGTGACAATTTTGTTTGAAAAAACTGTTCGCCAAATTTTACCCTCCTTTAAACAGATCTTTTTTGTAAAAGACCAGAAAACATTAATGTAAGTGAAGATCACGACAAAACACCCAGGTAATAGCCCTGTCACGTTTGTCACACACAAGCGTTTTGCCGTCCCCTTCTTTCTGCCGTCCTGGCCCCGGTTATTCAAAAGTTGGATAGCGCTATAGACCGGATAAATCGCTATCCAATGGATAAGTAGTACGAAAACTAATTGCGCTATCCACTGGATAGTGATTTATCCGGTGGACAGCGCTATCTACCTTTTGAACAACTGGGGCCTGCTGCGTAAACTCACTATTATTCCCAAGTCTGCATTCTTGTATTTGCTATGGAACTAACACTAGCAAAACAAATTGCTTACCTTGTAAATGACAAAATCACAGCTTTGTGTCAAGTAAATGCAAGTATGTATCCCAAGCATTACATCAAACACAACAAACAACAAAAAAGAACTCTTTAGCAATCTGTTCCTTGTTTTATATTTGCTGTGTTATTCAGACTTTCTTTTGATGTTTTGAATGGTTATTTCTATGTTTCACTCAGTTTGGTGTCAGTTCCTACTGTCTGTCATCATTAAGGGTGAAAAATTTGCACACTTCTTGTTCTTTCCTTGTATACCTAAAAGTAAAAGAGCTCTTGTGCTGAAAGTAAATTAATAAACTGTTCGTTTCGTTGAAAAACTGCTATGTAATGTGATTAGAACAATACTTTTGATCTAACAGCATGCATCTTTCCCGAATAGGAATGGCCAGTATATGTCATATTCAATGTGCCTTGCTGGTTCCAGTAACAGGCACAGAGCAGGATTCAAATGAGTAAAAACTGATGGGCTGTCTTGTAATACTCTAGCTGTCTCTCTTTCTTGCTCAGGATTAACACAACAGCACTATGACTTTAAAGCCTCTTCCTTTAGTTTGTTCAATTGTCAAAGTTCTTTCCCAACTTTGGTTATTTAATACTCTTGCTGTCTCCACTCCTTGCTAAGGATTAACACAACAGTACTATGACTTTAAAGCCTCTTCCTTTTGTTTGTTCAATTGTTTAAGTTCTTTCTTCACATCGTCAAGTTTCCCTGGAAAATAGAAAAAGAATTTTCAAACAAATAAACAAGAAATATTGGTAAAGATAAACATAATATCAAAAGTAAGATTTTCGCATAACTACATACATTCATTGTCTTTATTAAGCATGAAGTAATCTGATACCATTTCAAACAAATAGTTGACATGAATAAAGTCGAAATATGAATGCATAATAAATGTACAGAGCTGTGCATAAAACTTACCCATCTTACTTTTCACTTACTTTTAAATTGGCCAACAACATGAGAACGATTAGAAAGAAAGAACAAGTTCCCTGCTCCTTGTCTTGTATACACTTTCTGAACAAAGAGAAAAAAATGGATGGACAAGGTTATTAGCCTTAAAAGCAAATACATAGTTACATCAGTGCATTTCATTTAGTTAAGCTTAGTATGCTCTACTTTGTTCACTGAAAACCGTCTTATAGTGCTCATGTCATCAGCTTGCCCCAGGGCTGGGTCACAGGGCCAACCACGGGATTCAAAGGAAAGGGGTGGGGAATATGTTCAAAACTTTGTAAAATCAGGGATGTAATTACCACTGGAAAAATATGCAAAACAAAGAGGCCCAGCACAGTGAATTAGTGACATTAGCAAGCCCTGGTGAAGGGCCAGGCCTGAAACATTTGGAAAACAACTCAATATATAACATGGCACTTTTGTTCATGTTAGTTAACTTTTTAATGAACATTTCCTTGACTTTGTAAAAGTACTGTTCCTGTTGCTGTTGCTGATAAAGAATAATAATAATATTGCAGCTAAAATGATAACTAAACAGGTATGATTATTTTACTGCTCAATACTTGTAACTAGCTCAACATAAATAGTGGTTGGTGGGCATAAGGTAGATTAATACAGGTTTTATCAGTCTCTTCCTATCATAACCTTAGGCCGTGTCTACATGGAGAAAACTTGTCCTCGGTAAAATGGTCACCCGCCCACCTGAGCTACCCAGGGCAACCAACTTACCATACACTTCCCTTCAAAACCTGACAAACAGTTTACATGAGAAACAAAAAAGCTGCCTCTGCTAGATAGGTGAACTGCAGCGAAGTTACCATCCTGGCCAGGCCAACTTTTCTCCACATAAACACTTTACCTTGCCCAACTAGGTCAACTCCATCAAGGCGACACAATCAAACCATGTGCCTGCACTGTTTTGGTCATTCAGAGCATGCATGAGCACTGTTGACCAAGCAAAGGGGTCAACTTTGTTTGCATAGAAATTCTAGCTAAAGTTGACTTGGCTGTGTAGGGTGAACCTTCTACAAGGAACAGGTTTCCTCCATATAAACAGGGCCTTAGTGTGTATGTACGTCTTCAGGTGCTCTTTAATTGTACTGCTTTTTATTGAATGATGATACTATATTGCTTCTGGAAGCCTTAAATGAATAAATAATTCTGATCCTGAACCATCATAAGCCTGCATAGCTGGCAAGATCAGAGTGTGAGACTGCTTCCTAGGAAAAAAGCTGGTAGGTTTTTTTCCCCATTTTTCTCATGGCTTATTTACAGCTACCATTGATGATTGATTAAGCGCTGTTACTTGAATAAGCGCTGCTCTCCAATAAGCACCGCACATTTACCAAAAATAACTTAATAGGTGCTACAAATTAACGCACAACCTTTGTTACGGCACTTGATATAAAGAGATACCCTTGCAAAATTAGACCTCGACCAACTCGGGAGTTCTAAAGTTTTAATGTAGGGAAACTCTAGAATCCAGGTTCACATAACTGTTAGAGGTGTACATATTTTAAACTAAATTGTGCATACCTAGTACGCGCCTCACTTAATTCTCTCTATATTTCCCTCAGTGTTTTACCCGTAGTTGAAATATGTGCTGTTCTCTAATATGCGGCACTCTCGTATAAGCGCCGCACTTATAACAGGGAAAAATGAAATAAGCAGCGCAACACTTAATTGATCATCTACAGAAATTAAATTGCAACAGTGCTTTTGTAATTTATGTCAACAGTGTTAAGCAAGAAATCAAGCCAACTATACAGAGGGTGACAATTTTCCACGGGCGTAGAGGGAGGGAGGGTGAGTTTTCGTTACTCAATTAATTAGTCAGCGGTAGTTTGGCAATGAAGAGGGACTTCCGGTTAAATGATTGAGCTTCCTCTCGAGGCGCTTCCGGTCGACTTTTTTACCTTATTTATGGCACTTTTTCGCAATCTGGCGGAAAACCAGACGGGCGAGATCAAGGTTTTCAAGTGACAATTATGAAGTCTTCCGTGGACAAAGTAAGGGAAAAAGGGATTGCATTTCTTCAAGGAAATTTTGACAATGTTCACTTTTCGGAGAATTACTGTTTTGCAGTCCATAAAGGAGACGCAGAAAGTCTAACTGATTTGATCAACAGATATCTTTCTTTGAATTCGACGTAAAGATAATTATCTTCATGTTTTCATATCCTTCGTAAACTGTCTCCATACCAAATTATTGTGGTTATTTGCTTGAAGTGGCTCCTTGATTGTCTCTTAATTTGCACATACAGGTCAACCCATTTTTGAACATAACAGAGGAAATATCCCCATTACTTTCTTTGGAGTCCCCTTTACAGTAGAAAGCTCTGAATCCAGACATTGCGTTCATGGATTGTTGAAGGTAATAGTAAATTAAACCCACCAGTTTCTATTATATTTTGTTTATCAGCATTTTTGGAAGTTGGTCAGGATTATTTATTTTTTCTCATTTTTATGTAAGGGGCCAACCATTTAACTCTTGGGGGGGGGGGGGTGATTTTGAAAAAACATTTCCTGCAAGCGCTTGTCACAAGAAAAAAATTGCATGCAGCACAAATGTAATAGAAAGCTTATGGGAAAAAAAGGGGAAAAAATATCCTGCCCACCAGATTGCTAGAAAAAAATATTCTTGATGACCAGAAATCACCGCCCCCCCCCTCTCCCTCAAGAGTTAAATGGTTGGCCCCTAAGTGAAGAGCGTAAAATTGAACAGAAAGTTAAGTTTGCTCGTACTGCTCATGATTGACAGTTAAACATGAAAGTCTCCGGATCTTTAGAGTGGCCAGGGGTGTTGGAAAAACAAAGTTTGTGGTGTTTTGTTTAGCAATTTGTTGAATTGATTGTTACTGATTTTAAGGTAAAACAGACATGATTTTCCAACGATTCAAATTATTATCTACACCAACTACATCTACTTCTACCTATATTAAGTCTGTAAAAATCGCTAAGACATCACACCAACCTTGCCTTATTTCCCAGTCTCATCAAAGCACAACAACAAAACTAACAACATTTCGACATCAGCCAAGACTAAAACACTGATAGGATTTTGTCTTTGATGTTCTTTGATATGATTTCTTATTGCAAGCACTCTCTAGCAGAAGCAAGCCCTTCCGAGAACTAAAACATTTAAAAGTGCTCCTAATTTCGAATTAGCCCCGCCTCCCTTCCCCCTGATTTGACAATGTCGAAACTAAAGCGTCGATTGGTTGACCTGGTTTGTACTATGCTTTAATTGCAGGACTCGAGTTGTGGGTCTAAAAAAAATGATGCTCTGTCGTATTGGATATTTTTGATTACAAGAGAATGCGTGACAAATACAATGATCCTAATAACTTCAATATCAAAATAGAATCCACAAACCACTGTTACTACTGTTATTTCTTTTCGGCAAATACCGGGTTATAGCATAGATTCGTGATTCGGAATTTGCAGTTGCATTAAAATAGAACAAAGAAAAATGCTTTCTAGTTTTTAGAGACAACGTGATTGCGATGAAACTAAGTGAGAGTGAATCGTGAATAAAATTAGTTACATCCAACTACTGTACTTGTGACTTGTGGACAACACTGTTATTGGGAGGCAAAACATTCCCCATAATCGAAGCATTTTTTTTTTTGGTTTTGAATTCCGGCCCCATTCAATCATCCCCGTCACTTGGAATCAATACAATATATATTCCCATACATCAAGTACCTACCGCAGCGTTGAAGGACACCACTGACTAATTAATTGAGTAACGAAAACTCACCCTCCCTCTACGCCCGTGGAAAATTGTCACCCCTATACAGAAGCCCGGGGGGTACTGCCTTATGTGGCCTATACAGGGATGTGCAATCTGGACAGGGTATGGTTTACATGCTCTTTGTCCTAAGCAGAAAATCTAATTTCATGCGAGTCTGTCCTAATTGTAAACAGGTTATTGTCTGCATGATTGAGTTGATTTGTTAAGTGAAATTTATTTGTGCACCAAGTCTTCAAAAGCAATGACTATAACGTGAAAATTTTCAATTGCAATTGCTAATAAATGACTTAAACAAGACGGTGTTCATTTTGTTGTTTGTCCTGAACAGGATATACATTTTTTTGTCCTAAACAGGGTCAGAGTTTTAAGCCCTCAGCGGCTCACCCTTACCCAGGTTTTTACCTTTACCTTGACGAAAGATTCACCCTTCAGATTTCATTCTTCAAAGGGCCCGAGTTCCAGCCATCTTTAGGAGGGAGGGAGGGAGGAGCAGGAGGGTGTAAAAAAAATGGTAGATGTCCAAGGTGTAGACACTAGGGGAATATTCTTCGAGAAGCACGTGACCAAAGTGATTTTGTCTTGTTACTTCCCCAACCCCTGAGGAAGATTCTTGACTTTGCTCTACCCATTTTACCATCTCCGTGGGTGACCCAGGGTCCTACCCCTCATGGCGCGATAATGCTATACTATTTTAAGTAGTCTTACACTTTTTGCATGTAGGCATCCGAGCTCGTGGTTGGCAACTTCTAATTCTCTTATCTGGAGAAAGCAAAGTGAAATTAGCACGTCTTAAGCTGGAAAAATCGATAAATGTTGTTTTTTGATTACCTCATATAAAGTACGTGAGATCTGCGAGTCAAGTAATTGCAAATTTGTACTGCTCTGTTTTTCTCCTCCGTCCGCCATTTTGAAATAATGCCAGGGTTAACAGTCATGTGATCAAGATTCCCCAATCACTGACAACAGCAAGTGGTAACGTTTGCGCATGCGTCAAGCTTGCTGGGAAGCGCTTGTTGTCGGGAAATCGTAATGGCCGCAAGCCGTTCTGAAGCACTTTCAAGGGAGATTTTTTTGCATACCCAATCGACAACAGACATGTCTTATAGATTGGATACTTTGGCTAAGCCATGATGAAGTGTCATGTATGGGAGAGGGACCATTTAGGTGGTTAATTTTCGTCCATTTGGCTCCTCTGATGAAGCAGATAAAGCGTTCACGAGGTCGTTTGTTGTGATATGTTGATTTGTTGACATTCAAGC